TCTAATGTTCATAGTGTTCTCTGATTGTGCCTATGGCCCGAGAGGGAGCCGGTCGGCCGAGCGGACACACGCTGGACTTGTGGTCCTGGGTTCGATCCCGGGCGCCGGCGAGAAACAATGGGCAGAGTTTCTTTCACCCTATGCCCCTGTTACCTAGCAGTAAAATAGGTACCTGGGTGTTAGTCAGCTGTCACGGGCTGCTTCCTGGGGGTGGAGGCTTGGTCGAGGACCGGGCCGCGGGGACACTAAAAAGCCCCGAAATCATCTCAAGATAACCTCAAGATGGCACCTCTACTCTTCACTGGGTTTATTCTGCATCTCCATCCACATCGTTCGCTCCAGTATGTTGTTATTCTACTGTGTAGATTTGGGACCTGGCCTTCCAGTATCTTCCATCTATATATTATTTGATAACCCTTTCGTCTCCTGTCCAGAGAGTACATTTTGAGAGCTTTGAGACGATCCCAATAATTTAGGTGCTTTATCATGTCTATGCGTGCCGTGTACGTTCTCTATATTCACTTTATTTCAGCAACTTCTCCTACTCTAAACGAAGGAAGTGAATATGGAGCAGTACTCAAGACGGGACAGCACAAGTGATTTGAACAATGTGATCATTGTGACGGGAGCAAAGGAATTGAAGGGTCTCGTAAACCATTCCAACATTTTCCTGACTGACACAATATTTGCTTTGTTATGGTCACTACACGTGAGGTCATCTCACAGTTCCCACATCCCTTACATGGGGTTTTCCTTCTAGAGGATTTGATTGTGTCTTGTGCCCCTGTATGGTTTTTTTCCTTAATTTTGGCCATACATAAGTATCTGGAATTTATCATTGCTCAACATAATGTTATTTTCCATTGGCTAATCGAAGATTTTATTGATGTCGGGTTGTAGTATTTCATTGTCTTCTTCAGAAGTAATTTTCATGCATATTTTTTTATCATCGTCCACAAAATATAACACGGAGCTGTGACTTGTATTCTAGTTAATATCTTAAGTGGGAATGATAAATATATATTGGAGCAAGGACAAGGCCCTGGGGTACAACACGGCTGTTTCCTGGGCTTCAACTATTTTGTTTGCCTGACTGTTAGTCTTTGCTCTTGTTTGATAGGCAAGGGGACTATCCAGTGCCTACTTCACCTCTTATTCTCATTGATCTCATTCCATGGGTTGTTATTCCATAGTCACATTTCTCAAATGCCTTTGCAAAAGTCTGTGTATACAACATCTGCATTTTGTTTGTTTTCTAATGCTTTCATAATTTAATGGTCTGTTGACCAGACCACACACTAGAAAGTGAAGGGACGACGACGTTTCGGTCCGTCCTGGACCATTCTCAAGTCGACTGTGAGAATGGTTCAGGACGGACCGAAACGTCGTCGTCCCTTCACTTTCTAATGTGTGGTTTGATCAACATATTTCAGCCACGTTATTGTGACTCCTCCTCTGCATTTACGAGTATTATTGTGACTTTGAACTTCAATAAGTTTGTAGTCTGAGTATATAGTATCTGACATGGTAATGTCCCTGATTATTTCTTCATTGCTTGTGAAAATAAGATTGAGGGTATTTGCGGTCCTAGTTGGATTTGCTATCTACTGATTGACAGCAAAAATATTAGCTTGTGAGGTTGCTAGGAAAAACCTCAAATATATTTTTAAAAAGATAATTGATTACACAACTCATAGCTCGTACTGGTAAGGGATGACGCCAGGATCCGTCACCGTGCAAGTCACCCTTGTTATGGGGCTGTAGTGCACACACCCACGTCCCTTCCCTACCCCTGGGAAGGGGTGACTGGGGCCCCCTGGAGGCGAGCGGCACAAACTCAGTCCCTGCATCTCACATGATTGGCTCCCAGCGCGACCAATCAGCGGAGACGGCTGCCTTAACGTCTTTTATATATTCGTGAATAGACGTCCGCCGGTAATCCTGCATGAGCTGTTATGTCGACATGTATTGAGTTGATAATGCTCTTTACTGCGCTATAAAACACTTAATTCCGCATGACTGAATATCCATAAAACTGTATTGGGAACGCCTGCAACCCAGCACCTGACACGGGAACACGGCGCCTGGTGAACCGTATGGTGACTAACTTCCAGGAAGCCATCGTAAGCGACGCCCCAGCCAGTCACACTTCACCATCCAGGGCTCGTCTGGTGAGCCAGTCACACTTCACCATCCAGGGCTCGTCTGGTGAGCCAGCCACACTTCACCATCCAGGGCTGGTCTGGTGAGCCAACCACACTTCATCATCCAGGGCTCGTCTGGTGAGCCAGCCACACTTCACCATCCAGGGCTCGTCTGGTGAGCCAGCCACACTTCACCATCCAGGGCTCGTCTGGTGAGCCAGCCACACTTCACCATCCAGGGCTGGTCTGGTGAGCCAACCACACTTCATCATCCAGGGCTCGTCTGGTGAGCCAGCCACACTTCACCATCCAGGGCTCGTCTGGTGAGCCAGCCACACTTCACCATCCAGGGCTCGTCTAGTGAGCCAGCCACACTTCATCATCCAGGGCTCGTCTGGTGAGCTAGTCCAGCCAGGAGCAGCGGCCGGGGTTGTGGAAAGAACCTTGTTTATGGTGTCTTCGTGTCTATGTTGAGTAGCGTGGCGCTGACCTAGAGTATTATAAGAGGCGAGCGCTGCCCCTGTGGTGCAGTGGTAAGACACTCGCCCCGGACCATTCTCCCTCCTATTGTATAAGCTTATGATAAATCTCTCCTCAGCACCTTGCAGGGTGCTGAGTTTAGTGCCCTCAGTCTGTAGTGCCTTGACTTCTTTTTTATTGTGTCACATTAGTTCTTTCCCATACCTGAGACAATACACTCTCGCAGTGAAGTGTTGAAGAGTGTTGCAAGGGGGATAGCACAGTGCATCAGCCGAGTCTTTCAGTACCCATGGTGACATTCCATTTGGTCCCGTATCCTTCGACTGATCCAGTTCCTCCAGTTGATTTAGTGTTTTCTCCTGGTAATTACCTTGCATTCCTCGGCTCCTTTAATGTCACGTCTTTTTCGTTTTTTTTATAAAGTCTTCTCTATTTAGGTTTACTGTTTGCTTCGTAAACACCCTCAGGAATGACACACAGAAATCACAATAGCGTGATGCATCAAATGAACAAATCCTCAAGGGCCGTGACGAGGATTCGAACCTACGTCCGAGAGCATCCCAGACGCTCAGTCGATTAAGGCAGCGTCTGGAATGCTCTCGGACGTAGGTTCGAATCCTCGTCACGGCCCTTGTGGATTTGTTCACTCTCAGGAATGTTGTTTTCTCTTCGCACACTTCTTTGTCATTTTTTGTATATCTGCTCACTATTTTTTTTTAATCTAATTACCTGTTCATTCACTGAATTGTTCCTCCTCCTTATGTAAAGGTTAGGCTTCGTCTTTTGCCTTGGAGGCTAGGTCATTCTCTTATCACTTGTTTGTTTCTTTTCTGATTATTACATTCTGTGTTTGTAAACACAAGTGTTTAGTTTGTTTATGGTTGAGAGGGAAACACGGGCTATAGTGAAGGCAGCCTCCTTTAACACTGATCTGTTTCTCTCCCTCCTTCCCTCTATTGTCCTTCCATTTCGCCTCAATCTATCCCTTCCCCTCCCAGTTAGCAATACACAACCACAGCCATCCACAATGACACACAGTTATCCACATTGAATATACCGCGAACCTTCCAGTATAATGCTCAAGTTTGAGACGCAAGACAGGTCAACTAGGCAGGAGTATAATTACGAGTGAAGGAGAGGCTATAGCCAAGCCCCTGCCTCCCTATTACCCTGCCTCCCTATTACCCTGCCTCCCTATTACCCTGCCTCCCTATTACCCTGCCTCCCTATTACCCTGCCTCCCTATTAACCTGCCTCTCTATTACCCTGCCTCCCTATTACGCTGCCACCTTCCGTGTGCTCCCGGCCCCTCAGCTGTCTCGCTAGCCGTGACTACCCTGGTATACTACGCTGGATAACACAGCAGATTGAAGGGCCGTTGTCTATACCAGCACGGGGCTGACGCCAGACAAACACCCGCAGCCACTGCTTGTGTGGCGAGTGTAGGTGTAGGAGCCTTCACTCCCCCACGGGTGTGTGCAGCTGGAGCAGGGAAAGAGACAGTCATCTTTAGTGCAAGGTCTCTGCTGCTCAGCCTTTGGGACGCAGGCTTCTACCGTAATGGCGCCCTTCCCAATTCTTTCCCTCCCTCCTTATCTCACTCCTTCGTCCCCTTCCTTCCTTTCGTCTTTTTCTCCTCCCTCCCTGGAGCAGCAGCAAGACACTCAGCCGTGAGTGTCTGGCTGCTGATAATGGATCCCACACAACGTGGGTTTTATCACCTCGTGAAAAGGTCTGTGCTTTGTCTGAGAACACCACCCCCCCCCCTCCCACACGGTACCTAGCCCAGGGGCTGCTTCCTGGGGGGTGGAGGCCTCGTCAAGGACCGGGCCGCGGGGACACTAAGGCCCGAAATTATCTCAAGATAACCTCAAGATCATGAAACTGATGCTGATGCTTAACACACAGGCCCTTAGGGCGTGTGTGTTAAATTTCGTGTAACTAGCCTCATAAGACTGTTACTTGCTTAATTCACTATGGGGTTCAGTCATTGATCACGTGATGTGCCGCTATATCCCTTCCCACCACCGCCCTCGGGATGGGTATGGGGTGCATAATAAATGACTAAAACAAACTTAACCGGTGGAAATGTTTATATTGTTAAATGGTTGGCTATGGCGGTGATGACGTCACTGGCCCACTGCCCCATATGGCCAGTGGGACGAGCCTTGTGTGGATATAATCCATGTATATCATTCCATGCTTAATATAACTCTTAGATTTAATTTAATTCATTTTGACTGGTATATTAAGGTTATATATATATACGTTTATCAACTATACGTTTATGTATGTCTGTATAGTAATTGTATGTAAGTTTGAAATTAGATAAGAGTGTTTAAGAGAAGTATTGAGGTGTGGTGGTTGTGTCGACAGTGCACCTGGCGGACCTGTACTGCTTCCACTACACCGCCAGCAACGATGATATAGACAAGCGCAGCGGCTGGGACCTCTACAACCCCGCGGCCGAGTACCACCGGATGGGCGTCCCCTGCGAGGCTTGGTCTCCCACCACACTCAACCACAACTATGAGGTCAGTCAGTCAGTCCTGAACCCCCCTCCCCCCCTTCCTCCAACCCCCCCCCACACTCAACCACAACCCCCCCTCCTCTCTACACCCCCCACACTCAACCACAACCCCCTCCTCTCTACACCCCCTCACACTCAATCACAACTATGTCCTTAAACCCCACAATCCCCACACTCAGTCTTTTCTCCCCTACCACACTTATCCACAGTCTTTGATACCTGCTTGATGGGGTTCTGGGAGTTCTTCTACTCCCCCAAGCCCGGCCCGAGGCCAGACCTGACCTCTTTGGTCAGTCTTGGCCTCCAGTACGTTCAACAGCCACTTTGGTGAACACGGTAACATTCGCCTAGATTTGTGCTTGTGTCTAGAAGATCCGCTACACATTTTTTGTTCTTGAACTTGGTTGCACAAGAATATTGCAGGAGTAGTGCCACGCAGAGCAAGGGGGGACTCCACAGGAATAGTGCCAAGAAAAGCCAGTAACACGGGAAGACTGTCAAGGTAATGGTGCCAGAGAGAGAGCCAGGGACTCGGTGGGAATCCTGTTATTGGAACAGTGCCACATTAACTAGGAATAGGAATATTGTAAGTTACATAACTAGGAACAGGAGTGCCTGTATTGGCACTGAAACAATATGGTTATGAAACTTAAGAAATTAGACTCGACTTTAAGGGAGTAATTCATCGATATTAAATCAAAGTCTCCGTGGTGTAGTGGTAAGACACTCGCCTGGCGTTCCGCGAGCGCTATGTCATCGGTTCGTATCCTTGCCGGGGAGGATTTACTGGGCGCAAATCCTTAACTGTAGCCTCTGTTTAACGCAACAGTAAAATGTGTACTTGGTTGTAACAACGATTCTTCGCGGCGGGGATCGTATTCCAGGGACCTGCCCGAAACGCTAAGCGTACTAGTGACTGTACAAGAATGTAACAACTCTTGTATATATCTCAAAAAAAAAAAAAAAAAAATATTTAACAGGTGTGAAATGAGACTGATGTCTTGTTATTGGTGGTGGCACTGCTGTGTGGTGACTGCTTGTGGTACTGGCACTGCTGTGTGGTGACTGCTTGTGGTACTGGCACTGCTGTGTGGTGACTGCTTGTGGTACTGGCACTGCTGTGTGGTGACTGCTTGTGGTACTGGCACTGCTGTGTGGTGACTGCTTGTGGTACTGGCACTGCTGTGTGGTGACTGCTTGTGGTACTGCCTGTTACGTCTCCTAATGCATAAGCTTGGCCCTGCGGGCATTCTGATAGGTCATTTCTCCTTATCCGTGTGTAAATGGGAAGACTGGTGGGAGGGAAGACCACTGGGAGGGGGAGGGTGGGAGGGGTAAAAAGAGCCGGGGACACAACCGGGTTCTCCATCAATTTACGTTCATAAGAGACTGTTGACATATTCACCAAAATATGTAAATACTTTAGTGAATTTATCAACCGGGGTTCAGTTCCCGAGCCCATTATATGCCTCGGTAACCTTTTCCCATGCCCACACACAGAATGGGTATGGGGTGCATAGTAAGTGAACTAAAGTAAGGGTTTCACTGAAGGAATTTGGTGATATTTACTTATGATATGGATGTGAGGGAATGGCTATGTGCCTCACTCTCTCATTTCTTAATGTTAAGTGTTGCATTCATGGGTTTATTTATTTATTTATTTATTTAATTATTTATTTACATACAAGAAGGTACATTGAGTTTATGACAGTACATAGCATTGGTGTTTTTACATTCTTGCAAAGTCACTGACGCGCATAGCGTTTCGGGCAGGTCCTTGATCTAACATAATTCTAAATAGGTAATTTGTAGCAAAATGTGAAGAATATTAACAGGAACAGTGTAAGAAAATTTGAGGATTATGATCAGGTATATTGTAGCATAATTTGAGGATTATTAATCGGTACATTGTAGTAAAATTTGCGTTCAACATAATCATGATATAAGTTAATAGCAGTGATTACAATGGTGAAGTTGCATGGCTTATGCACATATATTGGGGGAGTGGGTAGTACAAGATACAGTGCGAGTTTCAAGCACTGGGTAGGAAACTATGAAGATGAAATTAGGTACTTTTTGGTTTTACTTTTGAATAAGGCAAAGATTGGAGAACTTTTTAATTCGTTAGGGAGTGAGCTCTATAGACCTGAAGGTTCTTTTATTTGCGTAGTGTTTACACAGATTTAGTTTGACTCTGGAGATATCAAAGATATATTTATTTCTGGTGATTATGGGTTCGATTATATCTGTCAATGAAGAATTTCAGATCACGATTTACTAAAGTTTTTTTTTTATATAAAAAGGGGTACCACCACTGGTGCAAGTGTAGGGACCCATAGCCTCGGAGAAGAAAATAATGAGTACTCAGAGAAGACCTTGTGGATCCTCATTGAACACTAAAGGTTTTGTACATGTAAATGACGCAAGAGAATGTGTGGCGTGAGTTTATGTTTAGCATGTTTAGGGATTTAAACAAAGGGGCTTTGTGTGTTGTCTGAAAACAGAGTTTGTTATTGTTCTGATAACAGAGTTTTGTTGCGTGATGATGGGCTTCATAAACTTTTGGCCCAACCTCAAACATACGTTCTCACTTATAGATATTGATTTTGTATTAATAAATCTTATTCTGATTTCTTGTATGTAATCATGTTTTTATTTCCACTTTCTAAGAGTCTTTTCAACAATGTTCCCAGAGGGGTTAAAACAACTTAATCAATGTCTTTAAAAACATGATCTACTTATATATATACTGTATATAAAATAAATAAATACATAAATATAAAGTGTTTTTGTGCCTGGATGCTAACCTGTGCATCAATATGATTGTTTTTCGTTGGCAGATCTGTGACACCTACCCCCAGGAGCTCTATGTTCCTGCCTCAGCTCCCACTAAAGTCATTCTCAGCAGCTCCAAGTTTCGCAGCAAGGGCCGCTTTCCAGTTCTTTCCTACCTCCATAAGAACAAGGTACAGCTTGCTTCACCTTCACATCTGAAAAATGAATGACATAATTATGCACAGTTGTTTAATTAGTGACTCATCTAAATTTGTTGAATTTATTTAAAATACCTCCAAATTGTTTGTCATTATCATGTCATTACCTGACCTGTGTCAATTTTCAATGATCCATTCTTTCTCCTTAATCTTTGTTTCATATACTATATCTGAAAAACCTTTTATGATTTGTCTTTGCCTGCCCTGCTATATGTACTTCATAGTGTCTTTCAGATTTTCAGATTTCTTTTTTTAACATTTGTTATTTCTTTCCTTGACACTTGAAGATATTGATCACTTCTTCACTTTTCAGGCAGCATTGTGTCGGTCATCACAGCCACTGTCAGGCTTCAGTGCTCGGTGTGAAGAAGATGAAGAATTGTTGGATTGCATCCTCGGGTCCAATCCAAATTCCTCATATATGGTTGTTGTTGACACTAGACCAAAGGTTTGTGTTACAAGTGGCTTGATGTTTTATCTCTTAAGCATTATGACTGAAGCAAATTTCACCTGTTACTTTACATGATTATAGCATAATCGTTGTTGTTCTTTGTCCTTCCACTGCATTTTAGGTAACACACTTTCACAGCAATATAGTTTTTCAATAGTGTACATTCATTGTTTATTTGCTAATGATAAAGGTAGATAAATAATAATGGAACTAGCTTCTGCCATACACGCGTGGGGTTCATGGTTCGAGTCCCCTAGAGCACAGGTGAACTAAATGTTTATTTCCATAGACATGTGGATGACAATTTTATTTGCTAATAATGTCTGTACTGTTGGAATTCATAACACGTACCTAGTTCACCTAGTTGTGTTTGCAGGAGTTGAGCTTTGCTCTTTCGGCCCGCCTCTCAACTGTCAATCAACTGTTTACTAACTACTATTTTTTTTTTCTCTCCACACCATACACCCATACCTGTTCGCTCATGTATGCTCATGCTCTATTTTTCCACACCCTCAACCGCTCCCCCTTCCCCTCCCCATCCACATATATGTATACACAGTATATACTGTACGTATAAACCACACCCATGCAACTTTAATTTCATCATTTTTGCAAGAATGTATTTACTTGTAAAGATTACATTTTCAGACATTATCCTTGGTTAGTACCTAATTGTCACATCATCCATTGTAGTTATAATCCTTTCATCACTCAGTCATCACCGAGGTCCTTTCCTGCCACCTTAACTCTTTTTATTCCATTTGCATATATAACTGCAAAGTATTATATGATCACCATGCTTCAGTATTTTATACACACATCTTGTATGTTGTTCCATATTTCCTCACTGCACGGAGAGGTTTCCCACACGTGTTATCATCCACATTATTGGTCCTATCTTCCATTTAAAACTTTTTAATTGGTTTCTTCATCTTTTGTGATTACTGTTTAGTCCTTAAACTGCTGAGCTGTTTAAAAGTCCTACATCCAGCTGCATAAGAAAGAGTATTGAAAACCCATAAGGACCAAACCCCATATGGTCCTTTGATCCGTATGGACTGGTTCTTATGGTTTTTTTGTTATTGATTCTTATGGGTTGAGCCTTATGGGTTTTAAGCTGATCCTTATGGGTTATTGAACCTGATGGGTTTTGATCCTTATGGATTATTGAACCTGATGGATTGATTCTTATGGATTGATTCTTATGGGTTGAGCCTTATGGGTTTTAAGCTGATCCTAATGGGTTATTATTTATTCATCCTTATGGGCTATTAATTATTGATCCTTATGGATTAATCCTGATGGGTTATGGGTTTAAATTTATCCCTAAAGGTTGATCTTCATGGGTTATAGTTTTTTTATCCTTATGGATTTTAGAGAACAGGAGGAAATCTTAGTGTTCAGAGCAGTTTAAGGGTTAATCATTTTTCATTTTGTGGTGTATTTTTATTTATCTAAAGAGTTACAGTGAATTATCAGAATATATTTTGCAGATTAATGCCATGGCCAACCGTGCGGCTGGCAAGGGGTATGAGAATGAAGCATATTATGAAAATATAAAATTCCACTTCTCAGGCATTGAGAATATACATGTAATGAGAGCATCTTTAGCCAAACTAATTGAAAGTGAGTATATATTTGATTTGTTACTCCCTCAAAGGTGAAGTGGTTTTGTTATAGACAATATAATTTTCTACAAGGGATGTTAAGTAGTGTCATTACCATCATTTATTAATTTCCCTCTTTCGGTAATAAATGCCATTAAATGTTGTATGCCAAAATATATAGTAATTTAAGAGTAAAAATGCTCCTATGGTTCAATGGCTGTCGTTCTTCACAAGCAAGAGGACCTAGGCTCGAATTCTTAGCACAGTCAAATGATTTTTCAAAATTACCAGCCAGTAATTGGTGGATTGTTTTCTGGAGACAAAAATTCTAGGATTCAATATTACTGGATGAAAAAATATGCCCTTTGTTCTTGGCTCAGAAGTGTGGGATCACTAGTTCCCAGATCTCCTATCACTTGATACCTCTGTTTATGTAGCAGTAAAGTAGGCACCTGGGAGTTAGGTATTCTGCCCTTAAGAATCTTGAGTAGAGGCCTCCTGTCCCTGACGATAGGAATGAATTGTTTTGTAACCATGACTCTAATTCACGTTCTCTCCCACATTCTATAGCAGGAATATTTTGTGTAAATACATTACGCACACTCCTCATGTTTTCAAATCTATTAACAGTCACCACCAACAGCATCCCTTATCATTTCACTAAATAACTTAAGTGAAACTTAAGTTTTTTTTTTTTTTTTTTTTTTTTTTTTTTTTTTTTTTTTTTTTTTTTTTTTTTTTTTTGAGATATATACAAGAGTTGTTACATTCTTGTACAGCCACTAGTACGCGTAGCGTTTCGGACAAGTCCTTAATCCTATGGTCCCTGGAATACGATCCCCTGCCGCGAAGAATTAAGTTATTAAGTTTCACTTAAGTTTCACCCTTATCACTTCACTTAATAACTTAACTTCGTCCTGTTGATCTTGGTTCCTTTTTCTTCCCTGGTACTGTGTCATGTTAAACAAAACATTTACCAAATGCATTCATGCCATGCTTAAACTGTTTTTCAGTAGTACAGTACTTCATTTCTTTGTAATTTATACAGTGCTGTAGTATTTGTAATTTGTAATATTTATACATTATTGAAATGGAGCACTTTACTGACTCCTCTGGTATTCTTTCTTCATTATTATTTTAAAATAATTATTCCTTATAAACTCTATAATCATAAAAGAACTTGGAAGCTTTCTTGTTGTTTTTAATATTCATTCACAGCTTCTTTTGGCTGAACTGATTTCCTGAATAGCTGCAGTTATTGCCATTTTGTAGGTCTCTCAATTTGAGATTCAAAGGGTTTTGAAGATTCATGCAGAGGTTCATCCTGTTGTCAAAGATCTTGTTACTACCTTTATCATCCATCTGATTGTAATCCTTTTTTACCTCTTCATGGCAAATATTTGTACAGTATTCAAATTCAGTGATACTCTTAATGAAATTATCCCATGCTTTAATATCCTGATCTTTTATTAATGCCTTCATAATGTATTTTGTATGCTTCTATTATTCGTTGATAGTCTCCTTGAAGATAGTTAACAAAAACATCATCATTTACCTTTATATTGGTTTCTACAATTGTAGTCCGTCTCAGAATTGTTGTTGTCTATAGTTGTCGCATGTAGCAGCGAGCTTCTCTCCTACCTGGAGTTGATCATTCATGACCCCCCCCCCCCCTCTTCTGTTGTTAGCACAAGAACCCGAAGGTGGTGGTTACCTTGGGTGGGTTGAGTCACATCCCATATGAAACAGGAGTCTTTAACAAGGCTAAAATATTACTCTCCTTCTGTTTGTGATGTTAGGCTCACCCAGTTTATTGTTCTATGGTTACAGTCCCCCGTTATAAGAGCTTGTGCTGACCTCCTGCCATTATCACATGATGCAGGTTTGTAAACTTTCTCAGCCATTGCTGTGTCTGCTCTGTAACATTCTCCCACTACCAATTTACTACTATTCTGAGCTATTATATTGCACACTGCAGATTACGCATATCTGATGATGATTAATTTGTCATTGTCGGTTGCAGTCAAGTACAATATTGTACATATACTGCATTAGGTTAACATAAATTATATTTAGATTTCATATTGTTTTTAAAAACAGATCTGTTTAAATCTTGCTCAACTTCAGTAGAGGAATCTATTAGGAGTACATGTTAATCTTTGGCTTAACATGTATTCATTGGTTTTCAGCATGCCAGCTTGTGACTCCTTCAATGGGCGGGTTTATTGGGGGCGTTGAGTCATCAGGCTGGCTGAAGCATGTGCGCTCAGTGTTGGATACTGCTGCTTTCATCACCAATTCTATGGTGGAAGGCATAAGTGTTCTGGTACACTGTTCTGATGGATGGGACCGTACAGCACAAACATCAGCATTGGCTCAGCTGCTACTCGATCCATACTACCGTACCACACAAGGATTCCAGGTATTTTTATTATCTGTACCTAATTTACCAGTGAGAAATTGATAAAATAATGTATAGAGTACTATAATTTTAAAGGAAAGTGATTGATCAATCTAAATACAGTTTAAGTCAGAGGTCTGCATGAAGGGGTGGCAGTGGTGCCATCTCTTATGTATAGTTATGAGATAATTATGTAGGATGAATGTGAAGAATCGTGAGATAGCATATCAAAAGTGAACAATCTGAAAACCTTGTGTTGTGTTAGAAGAGATAGAATAAGGACAAATATTATGGAGATATGTGACATTTTATTGACTTATGCACTCAAAATTAAGAAGGGCATACTGAGATGGTTTGGAGTATGTTGAATAAATGGGTGATGGTAAATTGGTTCCTGATCCAACAGCCAAGGTTCATCCAGGACCCAGCTCACACACCAACCTCATGTTGACTTTTACCCCATCTTGTCAAGAAATTAATGAAATGGCCTTGCCATGTAGTTGCAGAGGAGAGACAGTAAAGATTTCTCAATCTATTACTAAAAAAAGCACTTCTAAGATATATGAAAAGCTGCATAGACCCACGCAAATGACGGTTGGATCACTGGGGACAGTCGATTATCGCTTGGCTAAGCACCGGCTAGTGAACTATTCACCACCAACAATCACAAGGTGGCAGCACTAACTACATAAGTGTCAGAAGGGCCAGTTGCCCTCATTTTCTGCCTGGCATTGATGCACCACACACACACCGCTCTGTAGAAGCAGATTCAGTTGAGTTGATTATTTCTTGAGACTTTGTCTTTGTGCAGGAGTTCCATTAGTTTGGTGTGTTAGGGTCATGGTATGATTCTTTGTCATTTCATGTGTCTTTAACATTTCAAAGTAATTTCAGGCTTCTATATCCTGGCACTGATGGATCTAGTACAGAGGGCCCTCAAAATTATCTTGTCTACAGCCATTGGTAAAGCATACATATAATACCGCTCTTGGATCTTGCTTCTAGGCTTTGATTATTTTAGTGCCCATGTTGCAGTTTTTGTTCTCCTGTGTCACATCTCCAGTGGTAAGAGCCTTATACTATCTCATCTGGTGCCAAGCTTAATTCTGTTGCGTGTAGTTCTCATGGTACGAAGCAGTGATGGAAAAGGTTGCGGGGGAGGGATTATGAAGGTGTACAGTGTACATCTACTACTCAATTTCTAGTTTTTTGTTTGTTAATTTCTGAACTAATGGCGATATTTATTAGCTATCATTTGTTAAGTTTCTTCCAATTAAATTTACTTGTGAATTATGGATGAATCCTGGTCAGAGAGTAACCACGGTGACACTGAATCCTAGAACCAACAAAAGGTGGGCAAAACAAAGGTATCCCATTCTGATCCCTGAGCATAAAACCTGGATGCAGTCTTAATTTATACCTAGTTCTCAAGACCAGCATAAACAGTACATAGGAACCTTGGTAGTCAAATGGTTCCCAATTCAAACAATTCGGCACTTGAACACTGTGTTCATCCTCGGTAGTCAACCATTTGCTCGGTCCTCAAACATAAATACTATATGTGTAACAGACGAGTCAGTGTCCAAGTAGCTGTCATTCAGTGCACAACCCTAGTAAATTTCTCTATAAATTTTCTTGTGTTTCCTTGGATATTTTTATACTCTTAGCATAAATAACTTGCCATGTCACATTAGAAAGTTAGTGATAAGACTCATATAAAATAAAAATTAGATAGAACCATGACAGAGATGAAAAAAAAACTCGTAGCAAAATGTGAAAACGGTGCCTCGGTTCTTGCTACCGAGTTTGGTATGCCCGAGTGCCTAAATCTATTATCTCTGTGATACTTAGAAGAAGACAGAAAAATGAAAGGACCCCAGAAGCACAATCACCTGAAGTTATAATAGTAGGGGACTTCCCTGCCAAACAATAACCTCTCTCCTTTTCCTCACCACCTTCCACATATGCCACCAACCCTCCTAAGTGCAGGTGAAGTGAGAATATTTTTGCATTTCATTTATTTATTGTATTCATATATGAATTTTTGGGGGTTTGGAATGGATTAATCCAATTTACATGATTCCTTAAGGGAAAAAATGATTCAGTACTCAAACAGAGCAGCCTTCTGGAATCAATTAAATTTCAGTGGTGAGGTTCCACTGTACCTAACTTTCAATATCCAATCCAATCACTGGGTGTGAGTCTTTATTTTTTTACCCTTGTTTATCTGTGGTATACCCCTTATAGGTAAAAAAAATTCTGCACTCAATATATGTAACAGGTGTCTCAAGGATGGACTTCCATCTTACTTAGCTGCCTTCTCATTAGAATGCGTATTAAGCTGTCATTCGGTTTTGAACTTGTGTACTTTGATACAAGGACTTGCAGTCTCCAGCATTTGCTGGCATACAATCCTCTCTGCCAACCTAAATTGAGGAAATGATTGAGGTTTTGATCTTTAATAACTTAAGTCTCATCTCGAGTATTGCAAGGATGTGGCTTACCTTCCTGTTTTGGCAAATAACCTGGACCCACACGGTCAGTTTTGCAACCTGAATTCTGTCTTCTCTGCTGGTTGTGGCACCTAAGAGCATGACCAAAGCAACTGCAGTTGGGGGTCTTGGATATCTTTCTCACAAGGGTTGGCCCAGAAAGTTGGCACCCAGTCCAAAACTCTATTTTCTACCTTCTATTAGAGCGACGGTCTCGCTTCATGCAGGTAGCCGTTCAATCACCTGACCGTCCAAGTGGTAAAAAATGAATTATTATTCAAAAAATAATTTAAATAAATTATTTATTATTATTATTATTGGCCAGTTTATAATTATTTATTAACTAAACTTTCTTCATATGACTGCAGATGTTATCAACATGAGTTTTCTTCTCTACAGATATTGATTGAAAAGGAATGGCTAGCATTTGGTCACAAGTTTACAGATCGTTGTGGACACATCCAAGGGGACAGTAAAGAGGTATCTCCTATCTTCACCCAGTTTATTGGTATGTATTATAATCATAATAATATACAAATAATAAAATGATAGCTTATTTGCAAACATATAATTATTTTCATGCAGAGTATAAAACATCTATGACACAGATGAGAGTCACAAATCACTTAATTCAATTTGCAGTTAACAAAGATCTATTGTACAGTGGGAAACAAAAACTATAATGATATTGAGGTACTGAGGAGTATACACTACTCTGCAAATTGTCAGAATTCTGACAAGTGCTTTTTAATATTGAAAAATGCAAGACCTTGCATGTAGAGCAAAACTGTATACATTATAACTACGATATCAACAACATGATCATGCAGCACATTTAATAAGAAAAGTACCTAGAAATTTGGATCCATCAATCATTAAAAATTGCTCAGCAAGTAGGAGCTACTGTACAGTAAAAAAAAAAAAAACTAGGAATTATCAAATGAACCTTTGACCTCAAGGGAAAAGTAGTTATGCAGCTGTGCAAATCTCTGGTGTGTCCCTATCTGGACTACTGTATCCATGCATGTAGACCTCGCCTTCAAAAGGACATAACTACTTTGGAAAAATTTCAACAAAGAATGACCACATAAACACACAAATTATCCCAGAAGTCAACACTCTCATACTAGGAATGGTTGAGGGCCACAGTATTGTATTAACAACACTGCAAACCAAATATGACAAAGCTGATCTATTGGAGACCCTTTTATATTGGAAGATATTAATCCAGACCACTTCTTTTAAATGTCCAATGTAAATCCCACCTGGGACTACAGCTTCAGACTTAACAAACCACAATATAAGACAAATAATAAGAGATGCTTTTTCACTCAAAGGGTGATTAAACTCGTGGAATCATGTTCACGCTAAACTCATAAATACTAAGACATTGCTACAGTTAAGAAATTTAACTGTAAAATATTCTCAAGGAAAATGGGAATACTTTTGACAAATCATTGGCGTCACAACTGTCTAGATCTCTAGAGATGGTGGTCCCTATGTAAATTCGGGTAAATTTGTGACGTTTAGAAAAATTACATAATGAAATTTTGCTCTAAATGTTCCCTATAGATATGTGTGGGCCTATCATCTGCAAATTTCATAATATGACTCTGTCATTGCTATAGTATTTTATCTTGTAAATTTTTGTTACAAATCTACACCTGTACCTAAAGTAATTGTCAGTTAATACTGTGCATCATTTAACTATGATAAATTCTTTATTTAATATAGTACTGTATAGTTATCTTACAAAAGGAAGCCAAGAATTGTATTTGTCACCCACCAGACTGTGTATGGCAGCTGCAGCAGATCCTGCCTTCAGCATTTGAGTTTAATGAGAGATACCTGCTTGTCCTTCACGACCATGTGTATTCATCCCAGTTTGGAACCTTCATTGGTAACTGCCAGAAAGACAGAATTGACCTAAGGTAAGAAGCTTTCTTTGTTCATTCCCAAAATGCTGCGCGTACTAGTGGCTTTACAAGATTGTAATTACCATATTATGTATCCTCACATTCCCAATGTACCTTCTTGTATATGCATAAATAAATAAATAAATAAATTCATTGTTATTACAGGTATTAAATATTTGTAACATCCATTAATTAGCCTATTATCATTCTCCTTATTTTTTTTTAATTATTTACATCTTAAACTAGCTTGACTGAGTAAATGTCAATGTTTTGAATAGAATAATGCTAACCCACATTAGCTTTATGGATGTCTCCAGACTGCGATCCTCAGAAAACTCTATTATATCTACAAAATTTAATGGACTCTTTCCCCCCCCACCCCCACAAAAATGAGAAGTTTTCATTCTCTTTGCGAAATTTGAGATGTGTCAATGATGGATAGTTGTCTTGATGGTTTGTATAGTGGTTGCAACCCATCCTCTTAAAATGGTAGTATTTACAGCAATTATTTGGTTGAGAGTACTAATATGTACTCTAGGATCCAAAGAAAGTTCATATTTTTTACTATTAATTTTATAGTCATGCAAAAGGCTAAAATTCGAACTTAAGCATTCCTAGACCTTGAACAGCACATGTGTACTACAGTATATCAGACCCAAAATTGCATATATTAGGCTTAGATTTGTTTAAGACACATTTGGCTAGGTTGTTTAATTAGTCCAATTTGGACTAATTCCAAAATATGCCAAATATGAACCTTTTTTGCAGCCCAAAAGTGCTGGTACTGATACTTTAGACCAAATAGTATTATGAGTATTATAGTTTTTAGGAGGATGGGCCAAGTGGTTGTTAATATAGTTGACTTGTCGGGGAAGGGGGCTAGTAGTTGATGAGTTACCTACACTTCTTTACTCTACTTGTAACCACCCAAGTATTCATTCTCTTCTATGAGCCATAGTTTCCTTATTCAACAGCTGCCACAATGAAACAGTATAAACCTGTTTTGCCAATATTTAATATTTGCTTGAGTGATTATTTATCCTGCAGGATCTCTGCAAATTTATTTGAAAGGAACCATCTCGGGTGGCCTTGACAGGCACAAAAAGCCAGCGGCTTGTTAAAGGTCCCCCATTTTTCCCGATGATTTTATCCAGTTGTATTTTGAACTGCAGCAATGTCCTAAAATTTTGCAGCTACATTGGGTAGGCAGTTCCATGGGTTTATAACCCTATGGGTGAAAAAGCATAGTACCAGCTGACTGGCCTCTCCCTACATACAGTACTCTAATAAAGGTAAAAACATGATGATCTTTGAAGTGTCTAAGTGATCCACCAGTATACAAACACTGCTAAGTAATGTTCCTTTGCTTATAGCATTCCTCTAGCTTTCTCCATGAGCAGCCAGCCTACCACTCTCTTATGTGTTGCCTCATGTATGCCTGTTCCTCCCTCACACTGCATTACTATGTAGGTACTTTGTTCACTAACAGTCTTCCTGTTATTTATTACTGTATCACCTTCACTTTGAGAAAAATGATCAGAGATCTAATAATTTTTTTGTCAGGATGCAGCTCCACAATAGTTGCCTAATTCCCAGGTACTGTATCTATTTACTGCCAGGTGAACAGATACATTAGGTGAAAGGAAACATGCCCTACCATTTCTATCCTACCCAGGATTCCTCATTGTGAATTGAGAAGGAAGCCAATTGTAATACCGAGACACTGAAAGTGTTGACTTGTTCACTTGTATTAGTGAACATAACACACCTTGGGATGTTGATCTCAACCTTCTTTATTACCTTTGCTTTCAAAAAGTCATCCTATGATTCTTTTTTCTTGGGTTTCTTGGTTGTTGAAGCCATCACTGACACATTATTTGCATTTACTCAGCATTGTGCAATGATACCTTAAAAATGTCAGAGATACAGTATATGTATATTCTAGGATATTGAATTGGTGCAACTGTGGATCTGGTGCATGCAAGGTACTTATATAATATCTAGGAAGGCTAGTAGACAAACTAGGTCCCATGCTCACATTTGGTCTTGCCACTCTCTACCTCTGTTAGTCTGCCTCTTCTGCTCTATCTCCACTGCTCTTTCATAACAGTGGTGTTCACTATCTCTTTCATAGTTCTACTAGAAACTTTTTTAAATAACCCAAAAGTCTGAAAATATGTTTTTGGCTCTACAACACAGTAAATGGTAATCACTGTTGCTTATATTATACAAACCTTTTCACACAGATTAGCAGACAGAACATACTCACTGTGGGGCTACTTGAGATGCCACCAAAGTGAGCACAAGAATCCTCTCTATCGAAAAGATTCTACTGCTGATGTTCTGCGACTCAATCTCTGTCCTCAAAGTGTCAGGTAAGATTTCAAAGGAATTTTTGTGGTCTTAACAAGATTCTTGTTAACATTTTGTGGAATATACACAATGATGAGAAAGTTTATTGATTAAAAATAATAATTAATGTAAATTGAGTAAAGATAAATTTTGATTATGAAGGATTATCCTTTAAGAATTGTAGATTGGCAATTTCTTTGCATTTTGGGTTTGCTTTGAAGAAAAGTTCAATGCTAATGGTAGTTTGAAGCTTGTCGATTTAGTTAGGGATCTGGGTGTTTACTTGGTATCTTAATGGCATTTCTTGGACACACAAAACAGATAATTAAGGGGTTACATTTCTCAAGTTCATAATCTCTGTGCCATAAGAAAATTATAATTCATAATAAAAATGTCTTAATATAGAGAGAATCTTGATCCTCATCCATTGGTTTTGTTCTAGATTTTATTTTAACTCTTATTTATGGAATTGTCAAATTACCAGCCGAAATGACTACAGTCGGTAATTAATCGAGTAGCTAGAGTAGTACAATAGTTCCCATTAGTTCCCTTTTGTATGAGTTACATTGGCTTCTTATATAGGTAAGGATTAAGTTGTAAATGTGCCTATTGACATTCAAGGCTATTAAGTTTAACTAACCCTAATATCTGCCTAATATTTACTTGAAGGGGGCCACTAACACACAAGTGGCCTCGATGAGGACAGGAAGCTGGCAGCTTGTCAATGGTTCCCCCAGTTGTCCTGATTGCTATTTCAAGCTGGATTTTAATATTTAGCAGAGGTTTGGCATTTACGGCTCCAGCGGGTAGGCAACCCATGGGATAATAACACTATGGGTGAAAAAGCATCTCCTGTTTTCTGTAATACATTGTAGTTTGTTGATCTTGAAACCATTGCTCCTTGTTCGTGTTACATCTCACATTTGAAGAAATTACCAGGATCAATGTTCTCCAAATTGTTCAGTATTTTACAAGTTTCGATGAGATCCACCTTGTCATGTCTGGTTTGCAGTGTTGTTAGGCCTGTGGCATTCAACTGTTCCTGGTATGAGAGTTGACTTAGTTCTGAAAGGATTTTTTGTTCCCGGCATTGAAGTTTCTTAAAATGAGGTCTCATTACTTGAATACAATAATCCAAGTAGGGGCACACCAGAGATTTAATACAGTTGAATAACAACCTTCTTTTGTTTAAAGTCAAAGGTTCATTTGATTATTTCTAGGGTTTGGTTAGTTTTTTTTTTTTTACTCAGCTCCCACTTATTGTGGAACTTTGAGTGAATAATTGAATCTGACTTCAAGGTTCTTTTCTTCTTCAATCTGCTGCAAGGCAATGTTCTTAATTTGTTTGTCATGATGAGGATTGTTATGCCAAATATGTAAGGTCTTGCATATTTCAATATTAAAAAGCATTTGCCAGTCTTCTGACTATTTGTGAAGTTCATGTAGATCTCTTTGTAAGATCTCAATATTTTCACTTCCAACTTTATCATAAATCATAGTGTATCTGCAAATTTGATGACACTGTGTGGTTTGCAATATTCTCACTTTTGTCATTGATGTATAATGACAAAAAGGGTTGGCCCCAAAATGGAGCTTTGCAATACCTCACTCGCCACATTTCTCCAGTCGGATTCATTTTCATGTAGCACAACCTTTTGTATTCTTTGTTTGAACCATTGTTTTTTCCATTCTAGTATTCTACCATTTATTCCACGAGTCCTTTGTCTGAATAGCTGGTTACTGTTTCCAAAACTGTGAGCAGGTTTTTAAGGTAGGATCTATTTTTAACCAACCCATGTTGTATTGATTTAGCAAGATTGTTAACTGTGAGATGGTGAATAGTTCCCTCCCTCAGGCTTCTCCCCATGAGCTTGCAGATGTGAAGGTGAAGTTTTCTGCAGAGCTCTTTCTGCCTTTTATGAAAAAAGGGGTGACATTTGCATATTTCCAATATAGGAGAACTGTCTCTTGGGCTAGAGATTTTCTGAAAAGTAGTTTCAGTGGTGGGTATAGTTCATCTGCCAGTTCCTTTATGACTTTGGATTGAATTCCCTCCATACCTGGGTCTTTTGAGTCTATTAGTTTATTAAAGTTTTTCCTGATTGTCACATTATGGGTATATCCCTTACTTCATTCTCTTCACCTTCAAATATTTGTTAGTAATTGGATATTGTCTAATGTTTCTAGCGTGAACATTGATGTAAAGTATTCATTCAGTGTTTACTGCCCTTTTATCATGTTATAACGTGGAAAGTCTCATCTTTTAAGGATCCTACAAAGTGTTGTTTTGGTTTTACTTCTTATATAGGCATATTAATTTTACACTTGGCGCTGAAATGACACACTGGATTTTCATGGAGTCTTTCAGATTGATCGAGCCTCGTGCTGCTGGAAAGAGATCATTTACGGATCATTTCATTTAAGATCATTTAAGATTAAGATTTCATTCAGAGATCATTTAAGATTCCTCGAATATTTATTCCTTGAAAATTATTATTTATCATTACTATTGTTAAATAGTCATTGTGTATTAGGGTGTTGAAATTAAAATGAAAAGAACCAGAGTAAGTGTTAAGTTGTTGAAGCATACATGTGTTTTGCTGCATTAGTCACAATATTGTAAATCAATATTGTTTTGCAATATTGTAATTTTACAATATTGTAAGTGATTAACATTAAAACAGTTTAATGTTTTATTTGTAATTTTCTGAAAGAAATCTTGCTCTTAAAAATAAGAAAAGTTAAGCCCATCTACAGTTTTTATATTGATGATATACTGTGATGTTAAATACTTAATGTTGTCTTCATATACAGGTTTTGGAGAGGGATGTACAACCGGTTTGAGAATGGTATTCACCCACGAGAGCCACTGGGAGATGTGCTGGCTGCCACCACTGAGCATACTCAAGCACTCAATGACCAAGCTGATTTCCTCACCAAGGTGGGTTGCTGCAGTTGTGAGCACATACACGCACACAGTTACAGTTTGTTACAGTGTAGTCCTGTAACTAAGGTAATTACACACACACACACATCTAAGGAATCAAAAGTGCAGAAAAATAGATAGAAAGTTTCTATTTTCTTTTGCAAACAAAGTAGTAGATGGTTGGAATAAGTTAAGCGAGAAGGTGGCAGAGGCCAAAATTGTCAGTAGTTTCAAAGTGTTATATGACAGAGTGTGGAGAAGACAGGACACCACGAGTGCAGCTTTCATTCTGTAACTACACATAAGAAGTTATACACGCATACACAGCTCAAAGGGTGTGTGTGTTGCAACCCACTGCTTTGCTGCTATTCTGTCTTGAAACATCATACAGAAATACTGTAGATTCAAACATTGGCAGAGAAACACTAAATTGTGATTAGATGATAATCATAGGCCACTAGTACATGATAACTACATTGCATAGTAATTAATTACAAAGCAGTGTTGTTAGTCTTGTGGTCCGCTACTGTTCCTGGTACGAGAGTTGACTTAGTTCTGGGATGATTTTTGTTGCCTGGTGTTCAACATTTGCTTTTACGAAAGTTCAACTTTCTAAAAAGCAGAGGTGTCATCCTGAAGATGAGGTCTCCATGCTTGGATACAGTAGGCCAAATGGGAGGTGCATCAGAGATTTGTATACCGTGTCATATTTTTATATTTTTAATGTACTATATATTTTACTGTTTTTGTTTGAATACTTTATTTTATCTTTGTTTTGATTCATATTTGATCCCAAATATGAGAAAAATATCCTGAATATATAAAAGAAATGTCTGTAATATGAGATATATGGATAATTTGGACAAAAATTATCTAAATCTAAGTTATAAAAGACAATCATAGTACAGTAATAGCATTAATGCTCTCGACTGCATGTGTTTCTACATTGGTTTTTATATATGGTGTATACAGTACCATGTTATTACCGGAGTTTACCTGATGGCCATTATCTCTCGAATGGCCTTGACAAGAAGAGAAAGGCAGCAATGCATCAAAGATATTCCCCCAGTTGTTCCAATGAATTTATCGAACTAGATTTTAAAATCAGTACTGTACTAGTATGAGCAATGCTTTGGCATTGACAGCTTCGGTGGATAGGCAGTTCCACGAGTCTACAATACTATGGGTGAAAAAAAGTATCTCCTAATTCCTGTCCTACATTTTGGCTTGTTGAACTTGAAACTGTTGACCATTCTTTGTGTTACAAATGACCTTTTAAAGCAGTCTGGATCAATATTCTCCAAATTGTTTAGTAATGTACTTTAAAAAATTGATGAGATCATCCCTGTCATATCTGGTTTGCAGTGTTGTTAGTTCTGTGGCCCCCAACCGTTCCTGGCATGAGAGTTGACTTAGTTTTGGGATGATTTTTGTCACTCGGTGTTGAAGTTTTCCCAGAGGAGATATGTCAAGGTCACTATGCTTGGATACAGTAATTCACGTGGTGGCACATAAGAGTTATACAGTTGAATAACCACCTTTTTTTCCTTGAAGTCAAAGGTTCAGTTGACTATTCCTAGGATTTGGTTGGCTTTTCTTTACTGTAGCTTTCATTTGTTGTTTGACTTTCAATGATTAATGGATTTTGACTCCAAGGTCCTTGTATATTAAGTTAGGAAAAGAAAATTGATGGATGAAATTATAAAAATAAATATTTGTTTTATTGATTTTCTAGCGCATCACATGGCTTAAAAATGAACTTGAGAGAAGAGGACAAAACGCAGTCAAGAAGGGTGCCGGCACTCATTTTGACAACCGCATTTTGGATGATGCAGAGCAGGTAATATCTAGAGCACCTGTATTATACAGTAGTTTTATTTGGTTTTCTATACTTTTGAATTTTATGTCATATAATCATAAAAATGTAATTAGGGTTAGCAATTAGATTAGATGAAGAACAGTGTATCTAGAGGGCTAGATGTGTGTAGGAAGCTTTTTAATTGATATAAGGATTTATAACAAAATATTTTAGGCAAAATTATATAATATAGTGATAATGCTCTAGGAAGATCGAGAGATTTATGTTGTTTTTGAGGGTCAAAATACAGGAGGAGTACAAATGCCTTAGATGTGTAAATATTGATAAAAGTCAACATTATACAGTACCAGTACTAGTATTGTAGAAACAGTGCTGAATGTTCTCACATTGAAGCACTTGATGCAGGGCTCAAATACTATCATAATAATAATGTGAATGTTGTAAATGAACAAGGTTACATATTTGCTGTACAGTACTGTCTATGTATAGATATTGATTCAGCGATATATATTATATAGATTTTCACCTAAAAGCCACCATTTATTTATTTTATTTTATTTTACTGTTATAAACTGATGAGTTCAGGAATAGATGACTAACTTCTTGTAGCAGGCTTAGAGCTTTCCCTTCCCATAGTTCATGTTAAACCTTGCCCTATACTGTAAAACATAACCTGCCAATTAGTTTAGTATTAGTGGCCCTCGGGTAAATTCAGGTAGTGGACTGTACAAGGACAGGAAGCAAGCCGCTTGTCAAAGGTCCCCCCCATTTGCCTTAATCTTTTCCAGTTGGACTTTAAAATTTAAAAGTTTCGGGATTTACAGCTTTGGCGGGTATAACATGGATTTACAGTATAACCCCTGTGGGTGAAAAAGCATCTCCCGTTCTCAGTCCTACATTCTGGCTTGTTGAGCTTGAGATCGTTGCTGCTTGTTTGTGTTACATCTGACCTTTTAAAGAAATTGTCTGGATCAGCATCCTCCAAATTGTTTAGTATTTAAAGTTTCAATAAGATCTGCCCTATCATGCCTGGTTTGCAGTGTTGTTAGCCGCAGTGGCCCTCAACCATTTCTGATACTCGAGTTGACTTGATTTAATTGACTTTGCACTTTCTCTACCTGGGGACCTGGTTGTAAACTAGGTCCGCAATTATTGCTGGGCAAACAGTTAAGGATTGGTGACCAACCATTTCTTTCTGGCCAAGGGTCATTTCTAGAGTAAATTAATCATGAGGTGTGGGACAAGCATGCTACCACTATGCCACACTGCAGGAAGCTTGTGACTAGTTACAAGATTGAATAATTCCTGAAGATTTATTTTTATTTATTTATTTATTTATATATATACAAGAAGGTACATTGGGTTTGTGAGAATACATTGGATAGTACAGTATTTACATTCTTGTAAAGCCACTAGTACGCGCAGCGTTTCGGGCAGGTCCTTAATCTAGCAGATAATTTTAAGTAGGTAATTTCAATCAGAATTGATAAATGATAAAGATACATTACAAGAGAAAAATGAGACGAGAGAGATAAGTAAGTATATTAAAGCACTTTGTTATATTAAAGCTCTGATTGATTACATTGACAGCTTAATTAGTAATTTAAACAAGATTAATAGACACCATACAGCAGATTGACAGCACATATAAGACAGCAATGATCACAATGGTAAAGATGTTCAGAATGGGTACATAAAGATTGGGAGACTGGGTAGCAAAAGATACAGATAAACAAGATTTAGAAACACCATACAACAGATTGGCAGCACATATAAGAAAACAGCAATGATCACAATGGTAAAGATGTTCAAATTGGGAACATAAAGGTTGGGAGATTGGGTAGCAATTGATACAGTGCAATTTTAAGGCAAAAAGTGAAAAACTATGAAGATGAAATTAGGTACTTTTTAGTATTGATTTTGAATGATGTAAAAGTTGGACAGCTTTTCAATTCAGTAGGGAGTGAGTTCCATAAACTGGGTCCCTTTATTTGCATAGAGTGTTTACACAGATTAAGTTTAACTCTGGGGATATCAAAGAGATATTTATTTCTGGTGTGGTGATAATGGGTCCTATTACATCTGTCCAGGAAGAGTTTCAGACAAGGATTTGCATTTAAGAACAGGGTTTTGTAAATGTAGTTGACACAAGAGAATTTGTGGAGTGAGATTATGTTTAGCATGTTTAGGGAGTTAAACAAGGGGGCTGTGTGTTGTCTGAAAGCAGAATTTGATATTATTCTGATAGCAGATTTTTGCTGGGTGATGATGGACTTGAGGTGGTTTGCAGTGGTTGAACCCCATGCACAGATACCATAGTTGAGATAGGGATAGATTAGTGCATAATATAGAGAGATGAGAGCAGAGTTAGGAACATAATATCTGATTTTGGAGAGTATAATAACTGTTTTAGAGACTTTCTTAGTTATATATCCAATTGTTAGATTATATCCAATCTTAGTGGATTATATCCACTTAGATTATATCCAATTGTATTTTGAACTAATTTTCACTGCTATAGTATTCGTGACTCTCTATCTCAACAGAATGGCGAGGACAAGGTAGACAGTATAGGCGTGCTGGGAATGCGTGAAGTAGAAGAATCTTTGGTGTCTGTAGGTGCTCTGACAGTCTCCAACTCGGCAGAGTCCAATGTTACATCAGAAAAGATTGCCCCCGACTCCAACTTCATCAACCCCTCACATTTCATACATAGTGGCAAATTGTTTATGGTAAGTGGGACAATTATGTAAACCATAATATTATAGTGTGACATTTCCACTCTTTGAAGATGCAGCTTTAAACTTAAAATGTATAGCTGGCATAACTATTTCCTCTCAGTAAATAAAGCTATTATGCCTAATAATATTTCCAGCATTCATATCTTATAATTATTATTTTACAAGCAGCTTCCTTCTGAAGTGAAGAACATAAAAAATATATAAGATTTGTGCTTGAATCATTGAACTCGCCATTTCCGTCATATTAAATAATATACAGTATGTCTACAAGAAAGACTGCTACCAATATATATAATATTTATTTATAAATATATGCATGTATAAATAAAAGGTTATCAAATTTTTGTTTTATATATACTTTCAGAACCAGTTGTTGTCATACCAAGCCGAGCTGGCAGTCTCTCCAAACTTGTCTTCTGTGGCACTCGACTGGAAGACCTTCAGGAATGTGCGAGAATGTTCTTGTTCGACTCCCTTTGACCACTTCAGTCGCAAGGTTGGTGCAGACTGCCATTACTACAGTATAGGGGGTGGGGAGGGAGGTGTGAGACGGGGGAAATTATTATAAGATATGCAATATAATAATAAAGCCTCCCCACTTCATTACATGTATGGAAATAGAGAACAACTATACTACATCAAGATACAATCCCAACATGAGAGTTAACACCAAATGATCGGCATAATGATATTGAAATTGTGGGATTTAAACCAACAAGGTGCATGCATTACGAAAAAAGACAGGAAATAAGTCATAATGCAACAGAGACTAGATTTATCACTAACCTGATTAACTATACTTTCTCCTACAAAAGAAAGGAGCAAGAGGCAGAGGTGTCTACCTCATCTTTGAGGGTTATGTATCCATGTCATCATTGTTACACAAGTACAGTTAATTTGGTTAGTGATTAATGTCCCTGTTGCATTATGTCCCATTCCCGGTATCCAAAAAACCAACCCGTTCTCGCAAATTTAATAAGTCAATATTGACTTATTAAATATGTGCATAGGTGACATACTTAACATAATAGATACCCTTAAAAAGATTCATAGAAAACACCGACCTTACCTAACCTTGTTAGTATCTTAAGATAAGCATCTTATAGCTTCGTAATTACAATTATTACCTAACCTATAATAGGTATAGGTTAAGTAATAATTGTAATTACGAAGCAATAAGATACTAACAAGGTTAGGTAAGGTCGGTGTTTTCTATGAATCTTTTTAAGGGTATCTATTATGTTTAGTATGTCACCTATGCACATATTTAATAAGTCAATATTGACTTTACGAATTTGCGAGAACGGGTCCTCCCTTTTTTTTACGTAATGCATGCACCTTGTTGGTTCAAATTTTGCAAATTTAAAATCATTGTACTGATGACTTGGTGCCAACTGTCATGTTGAGATCGTATCTTTATGTATTATAGTTGTTCTGTATTTTTATACATGTAATGAAGTGGGAAGGCTTTGTTATTGCATATCTATAAATAATTTCCCCCTTCACACTGAGGGGAGGAGGGAACCCCCTTCCTCCCCACCTCTTCTCCTCACTCCTCTCCCCATCCCCCAAAGGAGGTAGGGGAAGAGAGGGCACCCCTCCTCCCTCTTCCTTCCTCCCTCCTCCCTCCCTCCTCTCTCCCTCCTCCTCTTTCCCTCCTTCCTTCCTCCCTCCCTCCCTCCTCCTCTTTCCCTCCTTCCTTCCTCCCTCCCTCCTTCCTTCCTTCCTTCTTCCTTCCTCCTTCCCTCCCTCCCTCCCTCCCTCCCTCCCTCCCTCCTCCCTCCCTCCCTCCCTCCTCCTCCTCCTCCCTCCCTCCCTCCTTCCTCCCTCCCTCCCTCCCTCCCTCCCCTCCCTCCCTCCTCCTCCTCCCCTGAGGAGGGGAGGGGAAGGAGAGGGGAAGGGGAGGAGAGGAGGAGAGGAAAAGAGAGAGGAGGAGAGGAGAAGGAGAGGAAAGGGGGAGGGAAGGGGAGGAGAGGAGAGGAGAGGAGAAGGAGAGGAGAAGGAGAGGAGAGGAGAAGAGAGGAGAAGGGGAGGAGAGGAGAAGGGGGAGGGGAGGAGAGGAGAAGGGGAGGAGAGGAGAAGGGGGAGGGGAGAGAGAAGGGGAGGAGAAGGAGAGGGGAGAAGGAAAGGAGCCCCCACCCCCTCCCTACCCCCCCCCCCTCCCCCCCCCTCCCTCCCTCCCTCCCCCCCCCCCCTCCCTCCCTCCCTCCCTCCCCCCCCCCCCCCTCCCTCCCTCCCTCCCTCCTCCCCCCCCCCCCCTCCCTCCCTCCTCCCCCCCCCCTTCCTCCCTCCCTCCTCCCCCCCCTTCCTCCCCTGAGGAGGGGAGGGGAAGGAGAGGGGAGGAGAGGAGAAGGAGAGGAAAAGAGAGAGGAGGAGAAGGAGAGGGGAAGGAGAGGAGAAGGGGGAGGGAAGGAGAGGAGAAGGGAGGGGAGGAGAGGGGAGGAGAGGAGAAGGAGAGGAGAGGGGGAGGAGAGGAGAAGGGGAGGAGAGGGGGAGGAGAGGAGAAGGGGAGGAGAGGAGAAGGGGAGGAGAGGGGGAGAAGGGGAGAAGGGGAGGAGAAGGGGAGGAGAGGAGAAGGGGAGGAGAAGGGGAGGAGCCCCCCCCCCCTCCCTCCCCCCCCCCCCCCCCCCCCCCCTCCTCCTCCCCCCCCCCCCCCCCCCCCCCCCCCCCCCCCCCCCCCCCCCCCCTCCCTCCCTCCTCCCCCCCCCCCTCCCTCCCTCCCTCCCTCCCCCCCCCCCCCCTCCCTCCCTCCCTCCTCCTCCCCCCCCCCCCTCCCTCCTCCCCCCCCTCCCTCCCTCCCTCCCTCCCTCCCTCCCTCCTCCCCCCCCCCCCCCTCCTCCCCCCCCCCCTCCCTCCTCCCCCCCCCCCCCTCCTCCCCCCCCCTCCCTCCTCCCCCCCCCCCCCCCCCTCCCCCCTCCCCCCCCCCTCCCCCCCTCCCTCCTCCTCCCTCCCTCCTCCCCCCTCCCTCCTCCCCCTCCTCCTCCCCCCTCCTCCCCCCCCTTCCCCCCCCTCCTCCCTCCTCCCCCCCCCTCCCTCCTCCCCCCTCCTCCCCCCCTCCTCCTCCCTCCCCCCCCCCCCTCCCTCCCTCCCTCCCCCCCCCCCTCCCTCCCTCCCTCCCTCCCCCCCCCCTCCTCCCCCCCCCCCTCCTCCTCCCTCCTCCCCCCCCCCTCTCATAGTTTATTATAAAAACATTAATTACCTGTGTATTTCTCTTTTCAGCACCACTGCTGGAGGTGTGGAGAAGTGTTCTGCACTCGATGCATAGACAAGAAAGCCGCTCTCCCTGGTCACCTTAGTCAGCAGCCAGTACCTGTGTGCAGACCATGCTATAAGGATGTTACACGCTCGATTTCTGTTGATACCCCATAGACTGCAACGTAGGACCTCTTTTTCGGTGATGTCGGGCATCAGCCGATTTATACATTGATGTAAATTGTTATCCACCAAATATTTTGTATTGTAGGAACAGATGGGTTTTGCAGGGGACTAGACAATTTTTGACTAAATAAATATTGAGCTACCAATAATCTGCCTACTTAATTTTCAACCAACTGCTGGTCCCAGTTATACTGTATACTGAAACCCTTATTTTGTAAATGCCCCTAGTTATACCCTTAAAAAATATTTAAGTGAATTATTATGGTTATCATCTGTGTGTGCACTTGCCCCCTGTTCCTTCAGTGGGGACGAACAGTTATAAGCTCCCTTTAACATATTAGTTACAAACCGTCTTGCAAGAGCTTACTAAACATTAAAAGTATTCTGAACAAATTATTCATATTAGTAAATAAAGACACAGACCAGTGCTGTGCCATTGTCTTTAAGAGAACTGTGAGCATTCCATATAGTTTTCTCTCAGTTAATTAGATTTCAGGTGTTCACCAGAGAACAAATCTACATCAAATAAAGATCCGTTAATAAATAGCAAGAATTTAAGACTCAAGATGTTAAACTTGTTCCATAAAATTCGGTAACTACTTAAGTAATACTTAATGAGAAATGGTGTTTTGTGGTAGTTTATGCAGCTTGCATATAAACCATCCCAATTTTTTTTTACCCCCTCTATATTTTCTTAAAAATGCAAGTTGACTCTGTACCTCTGCAGTTAATATATTCTAAAGTCATGACTTGTCTTTGTCATGCTCCTGAATGAAAAAATTTGAGTAGAATCTAGTTTGAACAAATTATTCTTTAATAAACTAATCACACATGTTTTAGAAAATTGGTACTGGACAACATTAAAAAAAAAAATTGAAAGCTAGTCAAGTTCCTTATATATATATATATACACTTGTTAATTTGTTAAAATAGTTAAATTTACTGTATATTCTATATTGTAAAACAAACACTGCAAGGTCCAAACAAGTGCATAATGATAGGAGAAATTTGTTGGCATAGAGAATACATAATTAAGGTTGGTTGATTAAAAGTCTAATTTTGAAGGTGGATATCGGTAATGTTCAATGACTCCTACCCCTACACACCCTGTTCATTTTTAGAGGTACATACATTGTTAGGTGATGAATCACACCCTTCTTCCCAGTTAATTAAGGACACATAACAGCCTCTCCTCCTCCTCCACTCTTCCTCAATTGTCTAAGTACAGTACATTGTTAATTGATGGCTCATAGACCCCCCTTCCCTCCCTTTAGACCTGAAAGTACTCTGTTAAATGATGACTCGGACCCCTTCCTCTATCATGCCGTGAACTACATACACTTTTCCTTCTACAGTATAGGTGCTAGGTAAAACATTTTGTGCAGTTCATAAATAATTTGATGCTACATTGTGTGGCCTTCCTGTGATAGTGTCAGTTGTGATAAAAAAAAAAAAAAAAATATGAGTTTGGACATGAGAAATGCAATAGTCTGCCCCTTTTGCCGGTGATATCTAAGTCTGTTGACAGAACATAATTTATGCCTATTAAGCTAAATAAATCATTATGTTACGGAGGTCCATTTATTCAGATTTACAAAATTTGGTTTCATCATATATATATGTGTGCGTGTGTGTGTGTGTGTACTCGAATGAACTATATGGGACAAAGTCGATTCGTTCCAGTGTGTAATTCGTTCCATCCATCCGGCCCCAACAAACCCTAAAAAACAAAGAAAAAAAATTGCATTCAATTACAATGAGTCCTTGCTAGTGTTAGGTGCTGCTCACCTCCGGTAACCCCTCCCCCATTGACACCATCCCCCTACCACCAGACTTCTCTAGACATCACCCTCCACCACTGACACCACTTTTTATCATGAATTCTTCATTTTGACTACAGAATATAAAAAGCGATGTACTAACTGAAATGGTAAAATTTTTGAGTTTAGTATGGGCTGTATTGAGGCAGCAGCGGGGAGCCACGTGGGGCAGCAGTCAGCTGATCACTCAGGCCAGACTTTGAGGCGTCTCACCAAGCCCAACACTTCCTAAAAATGTTGACTGTATAGAGGCTAGCTGCCTCCTTAACCCCCTAATACATCCCCTCACCACTGACACCATTTATTATGAATTCTTCATTTTGACTAGGCCACTAGGGAATATGATAGAGCAATGTGTTACAAGCCACTGAAATGGTAAAGTTTTTCTCCTAAATTTTGAGAAAAGCATCAAGTGAGTTTAGTATCGAGGCAGGCATGTGGTGCAGTGTCTGCAGAAGCCAGAACTGGTGGGTGGATGCATCTCTCTCACCCTCCTCTGATGCCTTTCCACCCCCCCTCCCCACTGATACTACAATTTATTATAAATTCTTCATTTTGACCATGGAATATGATAGAGGTGTGTGTTGCAAACAACTGAAATGGTAACATTTTCTCAGTTAATTTGGTGAAAAGCAGACATTGAGTGAACTATTGAGGTGGAGCATGGAGATGCCAGCCACGTGTTGCCATTTAGATGATAACTCGGGCCAGAGCTCTACATTGACACCACCTGCCTCCCCAGACAACACCTTCCACCACTTGCCTTCCTTGACAACACCTTCCACCACTTGCCTTCCTTGACAACACCTTCCACCACTTGCCTCCCTTGACAACTTCCACTACTGACAACACCTTCCACCACTACCACCACTTGCCTCCCCAGACAACACCTGTCTTAACTGACAATACCTTCCACCACTTGACTCCCTTGACAACACCTTCCACCACTGACACCACTAGCCTCCCCATACAACTTCCACCACCTGCCCCCTGACACTAAACCAAAACATTGACACTACTTGCCCCCTGACACCAATGACACCACCTGCTTTCCCTGACACCATTTTATCATCCTTCAACCATTTCTTCCTGGTAACAATGGGTAAGCAAAATAAAACACTAGAACTGTTTACACTTTGGTGATTCATAGATGACAGCCACCTCCAACGCTAGGTCGAACATTTATATGTTCCACTGAACATTTAGTATCAAATTCAATTTGTTCGGATCTTCCGGAAATTAGCTAGAGCGGGGTTCGTTTGAGTGAGGATGCACTTATGTATGTATATACATATACACATATACCGGTCGGCCGAGCGGACAGCATGCTGGACTTGTGATCCTGTGGTCCTGGGTTCGATCCCAGGCGTCGGCGAGAAACAATGGGTAGAATTTCTTTCACCCTATGCCCCTGTTACCTAGCAGTAAAATAGGTACCTGGGTGTTAGTCAGCTGTCACGGGCTGCTTCCTGGGGGTGGAGGCCTGGTCGAGGACCGGGCCGCGGGGACACTAAAAAGCCCCGAAATCATCTAAGATAACCTCTAAGATATACACACACATATATACATACACACACACACATTATATATATATATATATATATATATATATATATATATATATATATATATATATATATATATATATATATATATATATATATATATATACAGTATATATATAAAATTGATGTAGTTATGCGTTGATTCACTTTGCAGAGATATATATGACACTAAAGAAATGGACGCATGCGTGTTCAAATGAACACCAAAGTTCACCAACGTTTATTAGTCATCAGATTCATCAGCTTCTAATGCAAATTGCTATTGAGATGCTCCTTAGCAAAGTTTAAGACTAATGGTACAGCAGACCCCACTTACTGATGTGTGCTCCCCCCCCCCACCAAGTGTTCAATAATTAAATATTCGGTAAAAGAAATAAATTATTTTTCCCTAGACTGCTATGGTTGAGGCAGATAAACATTCCAGACCCTTAATTTTTCACTGCTGAACAACTATTTAAACATGAAAAGTACAAATTATATATAATAAAACATCAAACTTGTGTGTATTTTTATGAATTTATATATGAATAAGGGCTTGGGGAGGACTGGAGTATATATTACTGGTTTGGCTACAAGCAACTACTGCTCTTTCCCTTTCACCAAGAACAAAGTCAGGGTTAAAGGCTAGATAAGCATGTCAACACCTTGTTCAATTTCCCCCTTAACCCGTACCAATATGCACCACCTGGTATTGGATGATGTATCATCACCAGGCTAAAACTACTGTCAAACCCATTGTACTTTTTTGAAAATATTTAAATGATTATATAAAAAATATAAATTAAAATAATGAGAACAGCCATTTGCAATTCATTGCATGAGAAAGCTCAACTTCCCCCACATTCTACCCTCACATCCATCACCAAACTCTGACCCCTTTTCATCCAGGATGAACATGCTCCCATTTCAAATGTGTGGGGCTGAGAACATGTGACTGCCTCCACTCTCAACACTATATTCCTCTCCCCCCTCCTCCTTACCAACCACTTGGGCTGGATGGTACAGTGACTGTCTCACTTATGCAGATCGGCATTCATAAATCAATGCTCTTATTATCATGCACAATTGAAACACTTAATACACATACAGAAGGTAGAAGGAAAAGAGGTGATATGATCATTACTTACAAATTAGTAACAGGAATTGATAAAACTGACATATTATTTTGAAAACTGCAACTTCAAGAACAAGAGAATACAGTATAGGCTTAAACAAAGCTACCCCCCCAAAATTCGGAAAGGTCACTTTTGCAGTGGTAGACGATTGGAACAAAATTAAGTGGAAGTGGTAGAGGCCAAAACTGCCAGTAGTTTCAAAGCATTATACTACAAAGAAGAACCCTGCAGACATGTGAAGAAAGAAAACATTCCCCATTTATAAAAATAGTGACAAAAGACTTCATTAAAGTATTGCCTGGTATAGTAACTAAATCACTGAAAAACGTTAGAAAATTAATGAATTGAATAACTTTGAACAACAGACATTATATTGGACAGGCAGTTTGGGTTTTGAACTGAAAGAGTAAGCTTATTGAGTAAGCTTACTCATGTACCTGTACACGAGTAATTTCCCCCATGTACCTATACATGGGAAATGAGATTCAATGTAGACAAATGCCGTGTAATGGTATGTGGTACAAGTGATACCAAGCCACGTTCTACCTACACGTAATGTGATGAGAGTCTAAATAACTTGGGTAAGGAAAGGGATTTGTGGTTGGTCGTGGGTAGTAAAACCATCACAGAGGACCACACTAAGAGCATT